GCTGCTGCGCGCCCGCGTCCCGGATTCGCCCTGGGAGCCCGGCCCAGGGGCGGCTTTCCAGTCAGGCGATGACCTGGACAGCTGCGTCCTTAAAGGAGCCGCGTCCTCGATGTGAGGGAGCGTCTGCAAACTTCCCTTCGCGATGCGCATATCCACTCGAGGACACGCCGGCCAGCTGCGGAGGAAAGAGGAGATTGAGATCTCCAAGGGGTCCCCGGATGCCCCGTGGGCATCTCTCCAGGCACGGGTCCCGTTGGTTTCCTTGGGGCTAGGGCCCGGGGCCGGGGGACAAAGACCACCGAGGCCTAAGGATCCCCAGAAGCGTCGCAGCACAGTGACTATCCACCGAACACTGCTCTCTGTTAAACGCCTTACAATTGGCTAGTTCGGGGCCCTGGGCGGGGCGTCCATCGAATCTGCCCAATGAGCTGACTCCGTACAAACGCTCGAGAGCTGGCCCGACCGACGGGAGAAGAAAAGCGGACGCTCCCTAACCCGGGGACTGGCCGAGGGGGGAGGGGCACCAGGGTTGTGAGCCGGCAGCAGGGGTGCAGGCGGGGACTACCCAACCCACCGCGCGCGTGCAGTCAGGTCTGGGGCCCACCCCCAGCCATTGTAAGAATGCTGGCCCTTCTTAACTTCACTGGGCGCCTCCCCGTCGGGTCGCCCCTAGCCCCAGTATCCCAGGCCCACTTTGCTGGTCAGACCCCAACTCTGAGTAGGTAGAGGGCGCATCCCAAGGTCAGCCCGCTCCGCCCGTGGGAGCTTCGGGATCAGGCAGCGATGGGTGTGGAGGGCTCCTGGGCCAAGGTGTGCGGTGGGGGGCGCTGGACTATAGATACGACTTGCATTCATTCACTCCTTTCCCTCCCTTTTCCCTTTCTTTCCCTCCAACAAGCTTCTCTCTCCCTCCCACCTTCCCCCAAAGTACCTCTTTGGCCCTGCTGAGACTGTTGGCTTCCCCAGGGGCGGAGACCAAGCGTCTGGTGTCCTATGGCCCACATCTGGCCCAGTGCTCTCAGCGGATGCTCAGTAGATGAATTCCATGTGCTCCCAGCTATCCCGTTACTTTGGGGAGTAAAATGAGGCTGGGGGTCTACTGGGTTTGGTGGCTCTGCTGGGCTGGGGAGTGTGTCTGCTTAGTGTACTCCTGGTCACCAGTGGCCCAGAAAGAGGACCTGGCTATAGTGACCGGGGTCCCAGGTGACAAGCCAGAGGGTCTGGCCCCCTTGAGCAGAAAATGAGCATTCCAAATTCCTCCCAGACTCTGAACTCCAAAGGGGCTGCGCACTCCTGGGTCCCCACAGTTGGCCCAGGGTGGGCCTGGCCTGGTTGAGATTGAGAACTGCCTCTCAGGTGTCTCTCCACCCCTTCACCTAGGCAGCTGCAGTTCTTAACCTCAGGGTGCCAGGATCATCAAGGGCTTGTCTGAGATACCCATTCTTTGGTCCCCAAGCCCTGGTTCACTAGTTCTGAGTGGTCCTAGAAGTGTGCCTTATAGCAAGTGCCCCAGGTGGGCCTGCCACGCATGGCTGCTAGGCTACACTTAAACCAGCTTCCTGTTGAGGCACATGGGCCTTGGGTTCCAAAACCATCTTTCTCATTTGGATGCCCGGAGGTTTGTATGAGGCTTTTTGCGGAAGACACCCAACAAATAGCAGTGGTCAGTAGAAGGTGGTGGCCATTGCTGGAATAAAGAGAAGAACTAGGGGACCAAATGGGCTCGGCATAGCCAAGGGGCAGGAGGAGGCCATGGCTGTCCAGATAGGGGTGGCCTGGAGGGTAATGAGGGGTAGGTATAGTTTTGGGAGGCGACTGGATGTGGCATGTGGTTGTGGAGGGCCTGGGACTGATCCTGTGGTCCATGGGGAGTCATGGAAGTTTGTAGAGCAGGAGACCCAAGACAAGGTCCTAGGGTCCCATGTTTGTGTGTGGTGAGGGGATATTTGGAAATGGAAAAGACATGGCCCTTCACCCCTGGTTGCTGAGTTCTAACCAGCAGAGAGAACTTCCATCCTGGTGAAAAATGGTGTGAGGCCCAAAGGCCCTCATGCTGGGAGGAGAGTGTTGGGACTGGTGGAGGGAGAGGGAACATTTACCCGGAGGGTGGGTTGGAGAACAGCAGGGGGTGGGCAGAAGACTACCTCAGATCTGGTATCCTCAGCCCAGAAGCCTTCTTTGAGCAGCCTGCACCCTCACACACATGTTCTTGGTGATGCACTCTGGGTCATCCATTCATCTGTTAGCTCACAGACATTTATCCAGTATTGACTTGGGCCTTGAAGAAGCACACTGCTGTGTTGTAGATGGAATCACATGGCAGTGCCCAATCACAGGAGGCAGCATCCAGGAGCTGAGAATGGCCCCCTGATGACAGCCAGCACAAAAGCAGGGACCTTGGACCTTCAATAGGAGCTGGATAACACCACAATGAGTTTGCAGGAGATCACCAACCCTCAGATGAGGACTAGAGAATGCAACCCCAGACTTTTGAGGTTGCGAGCAAAGGAGCCCACTAAGCCTGGGCTCCTGATGCACAGAACCTGTGATAATAAATGTGTCTTGTTTAAAGCTGCTAAGTTTGTGGTGATTCGTTACATGGTAATAGTTACCGTACACCTGGTTTAGACATGGTGGTCAGGAAGGTCTCTGAGGGTGTGATCAAACTGAAACACAAAGGAGGAGCAGCGCACAGCTGTTGGAAAGCTGGGGAAAGAGCCTTCTGGGCAGAAGGAGCTGGAGATGGGGAAAAGCCCTGTGGCTGGGGCAGAGTGAGGAGGGGGGCCAGGGGAGTGGGGGCAGGGGGAGGTATAGGGGTCTAGAACAAGCAGTCAGGAGGAGACCTCGCATGACATTTCCAGTGTGCTGGTAAGTTTGCTGTGTGTCCAACGTGTGGCAACTCCAGTGGGGGAGAGGGGATTTGATTGAGTCCAACTCCCTGAGTACAGAGGAGAAACCGAGGCTTGCAGATGGCTTTGTGCAGAATCAGGGGAAGGATTCTGGCTGATTGTGCCAATCATGTGCCCACCAGGTGGGGAGGGGAGTGGTAGGTGTGATTGAGTACTGTGTGGAGTAGGGGCAGGCCCGCCCCCTAGCTCCCCTGGGTGCTTGCTGGCAGCCAAGCTGTGGGCATGTAGGTTTGTGTGCAGGGGCAGCTGCTACAAGGGCTGGGTTAAAAAGGAAGAAAATCCACATGCAAAAGAATGAAGTTGGATCCCTACCTCACACCACATACAAAACTAACTGAAAGGCCTAAATATTAGAGCCAAAACTATAAAACTCTTAGAAGAAAACACATGACACTGAATTTGGCAATAATTTCTTGGCTATGACACCAAAAGCACAGGCAGCTAAAGAAAAAAATTGGTAGATTGGGCTTCATCAAAATTAAAAACTTTCATGAATCAAAGGACTCATATTAACAGTAGTTAAAAGGTAATGGACAGAATGGGAGAATATATTTGCAAATTACATATCTCATGAGGGGTAATATATAAACATCCCCTGCAACTCAACAACAACAAAACAACCCATTTCAAATATGGACAAAGGGTTTGAATAGACATTTCTCCAAAGTAGATACATGAATGGCCAACAAGCATATGAAAAGATGCTCAACGCCATTAGTCATTAGGGAAATGTAAATCACAGCTACCGTGAGATACCACCTGACACCGATTATATGGTTATTATCAAAAAGTGGAAAATAACGAGTGTTGGCAAGGATGTGGAGAAATTGGAAGCCTGGTGCATTACTGGTGGTTATGTAAAATGGTGCAGCTGCTGTGGAACAGTCTGGAAGGAGGGAAGGTTGGGGGGCTGGGAGGGGCTGGACCTATCCCCCTGAGCTTGGGAACCATCCTCAGAGGACAAAGAGCCCCATATTCTACTCTGGGGGGTGCATGCAGATTGCAAGGGGTGTATTGGGAGAAGCGCTGGACTGGTGCTCACAGTCCCCTCCCTGAAGCCTCCTTCTCCTCTGTCCCCTGGTGCCCTCTGCCTCTTCCTTCTGCTCCAGCTGCACTGAGGACACACTCTGGGTCCCTGGGGGTCCCCCTGCCCTGCAGCTCAGCCTAGCCAGGCTGAGCTTTTCACAAAATGTTCCTGTGTAGCAGCGACTTGGCAGTGACTCTGGTCCTACTGCCCCCCTTCCAAAGAGCTCCCTTTCCAATCTTCCCAAGGGAACCCTCTCACTCCAAAGGGCTAGGGCACCCCTCAGATCCCTGCCTGGCTCCTCGGTCTGTGGCCTGGCCCCACAGGGCACAGGAGTGCCTTCTAGTGGTCCCAAGCTGGGTTGCTGGGGCCGCGTGAAGGTGTTATGCCCTCACATCTATGCACATCTGAGTGAACCTGGTCAGTGGTCTCAAGTTTGCTGGATCCCATACATTAGAACAGAGTAGGAGCAAAGTCTGGAACCAGTTCTGCCTGCTTGTGCCATGACTGTGGATTTGATTGCTTCTCCACACCCCAAAAGAGAAAGGTCATTGAATGCCATCACTGCCAACTGCTAAATCTCCAATATCACCAAAGAGAGAGAACATGACCAGGCTGAGCACCCAGAATCTGGTGGTGGCAGACCTCCTGCTATGTGTCCTTCCAGCTGCTACTGCTGGTGGGAACCAAGGGAAGGCAATCTCCATTTCTGCTCCACCCTATCAGCTATCAGATAGCTGAGCCACTGGGACTAGAAATATCTGAGTGTCTTCACTAAAAGTAGAAAATAAAAGGACCTCCTGGTGAAGCTGGGATGTCCCCTCTACTACTGTGCAGAAAGAACCTGGCACTAACAATTTAGCTCCCAACCCTCCTGAAACAGAGTGAAGAAGGCCATGGAGCAGAATGCATGGAGCGGTGGTCTGCATTCTCTCTCTAGACTCCTTCTCACCACCTGGTCATGCATGCCTGCGTGCATAATTCATCCATTCATTCGTTCTCTACCTATTTATTGAGCATGGGGCCAAGGAAGGGTTTGTTTATTTTACTTTACTTTAAGGTGGGAAAACATGTTTGCTACAGCAGAGAGAGAAGGAGAGGGAGAGGGAGAGGGAAAGGGAGAGGGAAAGGGAGAGGGAGAGGGAGAGAGAGAGAGAGAGAGAGAGAGAGAGATTGTTTTGGGCACACCTGGAGGTACTTGCCCCCATGTCCCACAGGTGCACACATCCAGGGTGGCATTTCCAGAGCCCTCAGCTCAGCCTCAGCTTTGGTCCAGCATCTCCCCCAACACCGCCCCAGACTCGGCCCCCAACATCTAAACGAGGCTCCCAGAATCCCAGAGCTGCTGCCAGCACCGTCATTGCCCACCAGGGCAAGTCAAGTCCTTTCTTCTCTGTCCCCTGCTGCAGCCAACTCAGCCTTAAACGAGGAGACTAAGATTCTCTTCCCTACCCTACTCCAGCTCCCGTACACCTGCACCCCTTCTTGCCTCCAGGCTTTGCTGCCTTCTCCAGCATGCCCTCCCCTCCCCCAACACTGCAGCCAGGTAGCTCCCTTCCACTTGCTCTTAATCCCAGCCTCCTTCCCTAGCTCCTGGAAGCCCTCCCAGCTTGTGCTATGACCATCTGTTTGGGGGTCTGCCTCCCAGCCTGCACCTAGATGGGGAGGGAGTTCAAAATAAGTCGGGTGGAAGAATGCAGGAAAACAAAGCCTACTTGGCTCCGTTTATTCTAACGCGGCATCAGCGAATCCCGAGCCACCAGGTGGCAGCAAAGCGCCCGCAGTTCCCATGGCGGCAGAGGCAGGAAAGGCAGGTTCAATCCCTTGCCGGCATCGCCCCATTATGCCGCAGGGCAAGCAGCACCATGCCAGCTGACTTCGTTTGTTTGCTCACTCATCTGGATAAATAAGCATGTGTTAAAAGGAGACTTTCTGTCACAACTGGATAGGGACAGACCCTATACTTTGTACCCATAGAAACACAGTTCAAACCTGGCCACGCTACTCATTTGTACCCAGATAGTGTTACCTGCCAAGTTTTGACACCTGGTGGATTCTTTCTCCAAGACTTGGAGAGGTGTTAAAGTAGCCACCTTGGCCCAAAGTGGTGCCTTTCTCTTTATTTTAATCGGAAGGATTTTACAAGAAATGGGAATGCCTCCTTCACTATAATTCAACGTTATTTAATGCAGACATGTGTTTTCCATGTCCCCACTCTGAATGATGTGCTTAGAGGGAACACCAACATGCTCCAAGGCCATTGTGACACATCCACTCCAAGTTTCCTGGTGCTCTGTCTCCATATCCTGGACTCCAGGTTTTAGTGATGCTCAAGGCCAAGGGTGTGTGCCCCTGAAGCCAAGCCAGGTCTTGGTCCCTGGTTGCCTGTCCCCAAGGAAGGGGGCAGTCTTGGAGGGGCAAGGCACCCTGCCCAGAGCCCTGAGTCAGGGAGGTCATCTCAGCCATGTCAGAGACTCCCCTGCCACAAGGCCAGTCCCGCCATTTTTCCTGTCACTTGGGGCCCTGTCTACTAGGGCCTGTCTCAGGGGCTGGCAGCTATGCTTGCCACTTCCTTGGCCTTGCCCGCCAGCTCCCCATCTGGCAGGCTACAATGCTGACTCAATTCCAGTGCGCCTTCTCTAGGTAATGAGCTCAACCCCTGATGGGCCTCCAACTTCATATTTATTCTCTGTCCCCTTTGAGACAACAGATGATCACTCAACATATGTTCATGCTTTGTGACCAGCTCAGAACAGGGTACAAGGGGTCACAATTGAAAACCCATCCCTGCCACCCTCAGAGCCAACAGTCCATCAGGGAGACAGCTGAGCAAAGGGGAGCCTGTCATACAGTGAGGGAGGAGGGAGGAGATGAAAGGCCTCACATACAGGTTAGGGTGGTCCTCCTGGAGGCAGGTGCCAGGAGGGCAGGGAGGAATTTTCCAGACAGTGATGGCAAAGGATGCAGTAAGAGATGGAGAGGCTGGAGAGTGACTCAGAATGGCCAGGGTGGGCGGATGGGGTTGGGGGTCCAGCAAGGAACTCAGATATTATCCTGTGGGAAGGGAAGGTGGGAAGGGTTTTAGTAATGTGGGTGGATTTGTATTCTAGTTAGATCACGGAGTGTGCACAACAGTTTGGAGAGGTCAGACCAGCAGAGAGAGCAGCTGACTCTTGACAAAACTGGGGATGGGGGCATTTGGTGGTCTGGACAGGGTTTCCTGTTGAGGAAGAGGAGAGAAGTAGATGGGTGGAGGGACATCTAGGACTTGGACTTGCTGGGGTAGGAGAGCAGGAGAAATCAAGGGTGAAACTTGGTCTTGAGGTTCGGCAGCCAGGTCCCATAGGGTATGCTGAGGTCTGCAGGTCCACGGAGTTGGGGTGAGGGGTGAGCCCAGTATGGGGCATCTTAGGTTCTGGGTGCCATGAGATACCCCATGTAGTTGCCGACCTGGGCATCCTTGCTGTGCAACTGTATCCAAAGCCCCAGGATGCAGGAGACCATCCAGGAGGGTGTCTGAGAACACCAGTACTCACAGTGGCAGTGAGTGGCTCCCACAGAGGAGCCAGTGGAGGAGCAGACATAGGGTAGGAGGGAAGTGGGGGCAGCACCAAGGAAAACAGAGCAGTAGAATGATGGCCA